CCCAGCCTTGCCGCCCCGCAGCGGGCAGCACCCCCTCCTCCCCAGCCTTGCCTCCCCGCCCCGCAGCGGTTCAACCCCTCCCCCCAGCTTTGCCTCAGACCTTTACCCTGAGTATCAGAATACAGAAAAGGTTGATTCCCTTCCACCTCCTTTTTTCTCAATTGTCCCAGTTCTCTTTTGTCCCAGTTGTGATCAGATGATCAAAATAACAACAATAACTCTGGATGAGTTTTGTCCCCAAGAACTTTACATTATGTCTGGGGGTAGGGGGCGTGGGGAGCAGAATCTAAATTGACTGACAATGTAAGGGAATACAAAGATTTAAGAAAAAAAACTATAAAGGTACAAAGGTAAAGGCATCCTTGTGGCTTGAGCACCGCAGAGTAGTGGGTAAGCAAGATTGTGTTAAAGGAATGGGGGTCGGGGTGAACCCATTCCTGAAGGTTTCTCTAGGTATGTAACAACCTTGCCAGGCACCAGTGGCACATACCTGTAATCCTAGCTACTCAAGAGGCTGAGATCTGAAGTTCAAGGTTTGAAGCCAGCCTGGACAGAAAAGTTCATGGGACTCTTATTCTCAACTGATCAGATTATCTAACAAAAATAATAATTGTTCGTTTATGTAGTAAAGCTGTAGCTTTAATAGTGTGGTGGTGTACACTGTAATCTTAGCACTTGGGAGGCTAAAGCAGGCCAGCCTGGGATATGTAAGGAGACATTGTCTCAAACAAAACCAAACAAAATGGGGGGTGAGGGGGGAGATAGAGAGAACCTTAAAAACAAAGAGTTTTGAGGAAAGAAGGACTCCTGTATTGGGCATCCCTCTGAACTGGTAAAGGTTCAGAGTTTCCTAATTACCTTGGCCCGACAATATTTTTGTTTGTTTGTTTGTTTTTGTCAGTCGTGGGGCTTGAACTCTGGGTTTGGGAGCTGTCCAGGGGTTCTCTTCAGTCAAGGTGAGCGCTCTACCCCTTGAGCCACAGTGTCACTTCCAGTTTTTTAGTGGTTTATTGGAGAGAAGAGTCTCACAGACTTTACTACCGTGGCTGGCTCTGAACCACGATCCTGAGATCTCAGTCTCCTGAGTAGCTAGAATTGTGGGACTGAGCCACCGGTGCCCGGCCAGGTCTGACAATATTTACAGAAAGAAAAAGGAAACAACATACTGAAATAACCTGATTGGTTCCACTTCAGCAGTTGCCCTTATCTGCATGAGCTTTGAGATCACTCTTGGCAAAGGAGCAAGACTTTATCATTAAACAAAACAACAACAACAACAAAAGGAACTTGATTGACAGATTGTAATTTCAACTGTTTAGAAAGACCTCAGGACTTTGTTGGACTCATATCCAAACTGGTCAAGTATATCTTTATCTGCCCCATGGTGGCCCATGCTTATAGAACAAACTCCAAGTCTCCACATACATAATGCTTCTCCAACAATTCATGATTTACAACTTTAAGAAAAATTAATAGCCAATCTATGATTTAAGAGCTAACTTTAACATTAAATTAAAATTCCCCCAAATATGTTCTGGCATATGATCTGAATGTATATGTGTTTATTCTTGGTCCACTATCATTCCTTTCTTTTTTTCCCTTAGATCTAAGACCAGAACTCACTCTTTTCAACTCATTGGCCAGCATTCTACCAACTGACCCACACCTCCAACCCTTATCATACCTTTCACTGAAGCTTTATTGCATATTTTGCTATTAGGTCAGGTTCCTGTAATATTTTTCTTTTGTTGAATATCTCTTTGCAGATTTTCTCAATGATGATTTTTTTTCCCCCTTGGTAGAACATGGCTTTGGACTCCAACCTCAAACTTGCTAGGAAGGTGCTATACTACAGAATCAGCCCCTATATTCACTGTTTATTTCTGAAATGGGATCTTCCTTCCTACCTGAGCACAATCTGTCTACTTTAGACTTCTTTTAGACCTACTATGTCTAGCTCTTTGTTGAGAAGAGGCCTCCCAAACTTTGCTGAACAGGCTGGCCTTGAACTTCAATACTACCAATTTCTACCTCCCAGGTAGTTAGGATTACAGGTGTGACCAACTGGTACCCAACTTACAACAAACCTTTGATCCACTAATCATGTTCCAAACATAATATTGTAATTTTGTCAGGTAATACATTAAATGTGTGAGATAATTTAGGGGAGCACTGACTCCTTTTAGTATTTTTTCCTTTAGAAAAACGAATCTTTTTAATCTTTTGTGTACTTCAATGAGGTATTAGTAAATATGTTAATACATATGAAGTTGCTTAATGTTTATATAGCAAAATATTTTTGAAAAAAATTGTCATGTCATACTGTACATATACATGCATATGCGTTTATATTGTATTTTATGTTTTGCTTTCTCTTAGGAGAACCATACAGACTTTTGACTGGTGTTGAGTACATTGTTGGAAGGAAAAACTGTGCTATTCTAATTGAAGATGATCAGTCAATCAGTCGAAATCATGCTGTGTTAACAGCTAACTTCTCTGTAACCAACTTGGTATGTGTTGCTAATTTTACTAGCTTGTAATGAGGGGATTGAAATCAAATAAGTTCACTTTCGTATGTGAGAAAGTTCATAGGATCTTTTATTTTATGAAGATGCTTAGTTTCTTTTTTTAATGTTAACAAAATTAAACTCTTATAAGGTACTGGGAGTGTGGCTCAGTAGTAGTTCACTTGCTTATTGTACCTGAAATCACCAGCACCCACAGAACAATAAAGCAAAACAAAAAAGAATTAATATCAAAACTCACACATAATTGGCAGTGGACTAGTGGTTAACTTATTTTAAATTTGAAGTTTCTGTTTTAGTATTTCATTCTTAGCAATTTAGAAACTCAGGAAGTGGGCATATATTTATATAATGAACATTTTGTGTTAATTATGTGCACCTATAATGGAATACCTAAGATAAACAGCTTAAAGGAGGAAATATTTATTTTGGTTCACAAATTCAGTCCATGATTACTTTGCTGGATTAAGTTTGGCCTGTGGAGGCACAATATATCATAGCAGGAACACTTGGAGCAGGAGGCTGCTTACCTCAAAGCAGCTAGAGAGCAAACAGATAAAGGAAGGGAGGGACCCAGATCTCTGAATCAAGGGCACAACCCCAATGACCTAACTTTCTTCCACTAGTCCCTACCACTTGGGTTTCATGACCTTCTAATACCACCACAGGCTGACCACTTAACCTTTGACACATGGATGTTTGAGGGAAACTTCAGATCCAGGTTACAGGACAATTATTGAGTGATAAATGTATGTCATTTCATTGTGCCAGATCTGGAAAAGGAGCAGTGGCTGGACTTACATGACTCCCACTCTAAAGAGTTATGTAGCTGTATGATCATAAGCATTTCCAATACCACACAAGTTTTGCAGTGAGAATTACTATATTAGGAAAAATGACTTGTACCATTATTATATCTACTGTGTGATATAAAAGTGATAAATCATGTATTTGTGCTCTTTATACATTGTTAGCTTTTATAATAATAATTGGAATTCCTGCCAAAAATAAAGTTTATTACTGTAACCCAGAAGCTCTACCTTTTAATTCCATACTCTCATTACACCAATTTTTATCTATTTGATTTTGATAATGTAAAAATAATTTTTCCAGCAGAATGAAACTGATGTGTTTATATATGGAACTGTACCAAAGCTCTCAAATTCCGAATTTGAGAGGCCAAGAAAAATCCTACTAGCTTAGAAAATGCGTATTCTAAAAGGGGTAATCCTCACTAATTAAGAAAGTATCTTTAGGGACTATTAATTGCAAGTTGAATGTTCTTTTCCTAAGGGCAACTAAAGCAGTGGCAATCCTGTACCTTTTTTTTTTTTTTTGCCTATACAGAAAGTTGTTCATTTGAAATGTTTTCCTTTTTAAATAATTTGTTGATTTTTTTCAGAGTCAAACAGATGATATTCCTGTATTAACAATAAAAGATAATTCTAAATATGGCACATTTGTTAATGAGGAAAAAATGCAGAATGGCCTTTCCCAAACACTAAAAACAGGAGATAGAGTTACCTTTGGAGTGTTCGAAAGTAAATTCAGGTAAGAAGATTTTTTGTGTATATATATTTTTTAAATGAATGATATTGGGGAGTGAACCCAAGGTTTTGTACTTGCTAGGGTATGAAGTTATTATATCATTATTAAAATGGAAAGCTTTATTCAGCAGTCAAATTATCCACGGAAAGAATATTTATGAACAATAAGCTGAAAGCAATATAATTTAGTTTCTCCTTAGCACAGAAGGAATCTTGAGCCTAAATATACTTAGTACATTTGTGGCTTACAATGATAAGAGGAAAGTTTGTATGGACCCTGAATTTTAATGAGAGTTCATTTGCTGATTCCTCATATATGAAAGTATAATGTTAATTTTTGCCACTGCTTGTTCTTCATTAGAACTAAAGACTTGGGAAATGATTATTTCATAGGTTAGAAAGTTTAACAATACATACAAATTAAGATTCACTATGTGGTATGAACGTAGTGTTTTAAAATACTAAAAGTTGTCATCTGTATAGCTACAACAATATAACTTTATGTATATAACTTATTTTCATTTACAGAGTAGAATATGAGCCTTTGGTTGTATGCTCTTCTTGTTTAGATATCTCTGGGAAGACTGCTTTAAATCGAGCTGTTTTGCAACTTGGAGGACTTACTATAAACAACTGGACAGAAGAATGTACTCACCTTGTCATGGTATCAGTTAAAGTTACCATTAAAGTAAGTTGAATGTCTTTTTATGTTAAAAGAAGTTCTGTAAACTTAAGCTTGCTCATGTACTACACAAACTTGAAAATTTTTATTGTGAAACTAAGAAGTATTAGTTACAGATTTACTTATATCTATCCCTTGCCTTTATTTTAGGCTCAAGTGAGTTTTCAGATAATCTGTTTATTGTCTGTGACAAGCAGAAACACATAAAATTAGATTTCAGGGTTTGGTTAGACGTTTTCAAAAAAGATGTATTTTATCCTTTTTACCTATCTTTTTTACCATAACATGCATAATTTACATCTCAGTCCAAAGCAAGGAGACTAGAGATTAACTATCAGTCTCCAAAGTTAACTTCCCATGTCATTTCTATCAAGTTGTCTTCCTCTAGCATTTCAAGATTTCATGCTCTCTTCTTTAAGCCCCCAGTCTCAAAAATCTTAAAGTTCTTTTTTTTTTTGGGGAGGGGGGGCCTGGGCGCTGTCCCTCAGCTCTTCAGCTCAAGGCTAATGCTCTACCACTTGAGCCACAGCGCCACTTCCAGCTTTTTTCTTTTTGCTTA